GCTCTCGCCATTGAAGTCGCAGCTTTACATAAGTCAGTGGTTTCGAAGGTAGTTACCTACCTTCGAAACCACTGACTTATGTAAAGCTGCGACTTCAATGGCGAGAGCCTTTAAAATTCGTTTCATTTAGCAAAGCAGAGAGTAGGCTCTTACATCTCGCGATTGACCAGTGGATAATTAGATCACGGGTGTTTATCACAAATTTCTTTCATTACCTAGGAGCTTTTAAGTATTTACAATTATTGTTTGTTAAATTACTTAGCGGATGGTAGTCAATCACCGAATCAGTTTTCCATGTGTGCCTCTGTTGAATGAGAATTTATGCCTAGTTAAAATAGTCAGTAGTGTTAATTTTTCTATTTTTCTAGCTCATTTGCAAGACCAGTTGACCAAGCAAGAACAGGATTTGGATTTGAATCGCATAAAGCTGTCCCAACTTGATAACGGTAAGTTCTTCTCGTTAACCTAACTCTGCCTGATAAAATTCCAGGTTTGCTTCTGGCTTTCCGGCCGCGCTAATTTGTTCATGAAGCTTTTCACGATTACATGGTCATTTGAAATCAGATTCTCACAGGAACTGCTAGTAGCTTTCTCGATTGAAAGCGAAAACCTCTGACTAGTTTCCCTTTGGTAAGATTCCGTTTAGGATTAAGGTTATTTTGCTTTCTGCATCGCGTGTTTTTGTAAAATCGGACTACAAATTAGGTGTTTCTACCACATATCTCGGCGCTCACATCTTGTTCTGTTTGTTTTTCTCTAGCTTCTGTAGGCATTTCAATCACCGTACTCATGGTCTGTTTCCTGAAAGCAATACCAGGGTCGCTTTTCTACTACAACCGACTAGCATAACAATTTAGTTAGGGCTATGTGCTTGTTTTTGATTAATCTGACCATGTTAACAGTGTCCAATAAAAGCAAATTTTCTGCAATTAAAAATGAAAATTCGTAACTCTATTCTGGCCTGATCTAAATAAAATCAGACGAATTAGTAGCTCTCAAACACATCTTTCGGTCGACCTGCAACTGTGGTTGATCGACCTGTGTTAGAATTTAGCCACTGAGTTTATTTTATTTTAAGAATCTGTGGGAGTGGCCTTGAGTAAGCATGCTTGATCAGGAAATACCAGAGCTTTTCATAAGATATTTATATTACAAAAGACCTTGACGCATTGTAGGCCTTTGATAACACCGAAAGGTATCACATACGCATAGGAGTTTGTCGCATGACCTTCTTAGACCTTTCTAAGGATTTTTTGTAGGACCGCGGCTAGAGAAACACACCCGTGCCATCTGCTTGTAGCAGGTGCCATCTTCTAAAGTCACTCACAGGGCCGGAACCGTTTAGTAAAACCTAATAAAGGTCTAAAAGTACAACCTAAGCTACCAATGGATTTCATTGCTGTTAGAGTCAACAGCCTAATTACAAAAATAAGTACTAAGAGATTATTCATCGCCAGATTAAAATATACTTATTTATCAGAAACCGCAAAAAGTTTAAGTCTGCTTTGGATTTTCGGATCGGTCGAGACTTCCTCAGATTAAAGCCTCATTTAATATCCTATCTCCCTACCCTGGTGCTTTCAGGGAAGACCATTTATGTGTTGGGACTCGGTTCCTAGACCTTTAATTTTCCTTTATGCTTTTATTTAACAGGATAATATCTTTGTTCATGTGGGTATTATAAGTAAACCTTGTTTCTGGGCGCTCAAATTGCTAAGCAGTAAAATTTCAAAACCGCCGACATTCTTTACGTCTATCCGAATTGCGTACACCACAGCCTTCTAATTTTTGGAAATCTGTTTAGTCTGTAACTGGTTGGACAGGGTTTACAATGATTCTTCTGTTCGAAATGGAGGTTACTCCCATTCCAATGCAGGTTCTAAGATCGTGCCGAAAGGCGGTAGAACCTTGCAGTGAACAGTCACCATATCGTAATACCCACATGAATTGTAACCTTATGATAAGTAACCTTACCAACTAGTTCCCCAGTGATGTCGGAATGTATGGACACAGCGTCGTCCACGACTGCTTATTGGTCATACGTGGGACCTA